TGTGTGTGTGTGTGTGTGTGTGTGTGTGTGTGTGTGTGTGTGAAACACTGCAGCTCTGTCTCTCAGCCTCACGTGCTGAACTTGGATGAACCCTCCAACTGAAAACTGGCAGAAATGAAACTCTGAGAAGAACAGAAACAGAAAGGCATGAAGCTGGATCCTCAGGCCACGCCCCCTCCCCAAACCGAGCCACGCCCACCTCATTTCAGCCTGAGCCACGATTGGCTCAGCCGTAAGCTTTTGTGGAAACAGCCAAACTGCATCTTTTATAAACAGGTTTAATTAACTGCAGCAGTTTTAAATGACTCATCCTGCCCCCCAACCTGCCTCACCCAGCATGGCAGGAGACCGAAAAATAGCCGAAACACTTCAGGATGCTTCTGCTGGGTCCAAAACTGAAGCTTTAGTTTGGACTTCTGTACCCTGCTGATGCTTCTGACCCCAGAGGAACAACAGCTACGATTCAGAAACCAAGATCTTCTTAAATAACACAAACTGTAAAAGAGCAACAAATTATTTTGTTTTGTTACTTTTAGCTACTGTTCTGCTGTGTAGCTTTAAGCTACTGTTCTGCTTTGTAGCTTTAAGATCCTGTTTTACTTTTTAGCTTTAAGCTACTGTTCTGCTTTGTAGCTTTAAGCTACTGTTCTGCTTTGTAGCTTTAAGATCCTGTTTTACTTTTTAGCTTTAAGCTACTGTTCTGCTTTGCAGCTTTAAGCTACTGTTCTGCTTTGTAGCTTTAAGCTACTGTTCTGCTTTGTAGCTTTAAGATCCTGTTCTGCTTTGTAGCTTTAAGCTACTGTTCTGCTTTGTAGCTTTAAGCTACTGTTCTGCTTTGTAGCTTTAAGCCACTGTTCTGCTTTGTAGCTTTAAGCTACTGTTCTGCTTTGTAGCTTTAAGCTACTGTTCTGCTTTTTAGCTTTAAGCTACTGTTCTGCTTTGTAGCTTTCAGCTACTGTTCTGCTTTGTAGCTTTAAGCTACTGTTCTGCTTTGTAGCTTTAAGCTACTGTTCTGCTTTGTAGCTTTCAGCTACTGTTCTTCTTTTTAGCTTTAAGCTACTGTTCTGCTTTGTAGCTTTAAGCTACTGTTCTGCTTCTTTTAGCTGTAGGCAACTGTTCTGCTTTTTTAGCTTTCGACTACTGTTCTGCTTCTTTTAGCTTTAGCTTCTAACTTTAAACACCTTTTACCTAATGTTTTCACCTACAGTATTTAGCATCTAGCGTCTTTCTGCTTTTAAGAGGAAGCAGTGAATGTGATACCCATCTAAGGAGAGCTAACCCAGAAGTAGCTGAAGGTCTGATTCAACCAGCTGAAGAGTTCACAGTCTGATAAACGTTGTGAAATACAAAACAGCAGGAAAACTTTGTTAGCTCGTCTCTTTCCGACCACAACCTGAAAAACAAAAACACTCTTCTGTCCTCAAATCTGATGTTTCTGTTCCTGCTTCCTCCGCTCAAACAGGAAGTCCTCTCTTTGCGTGCAGGTGAGGTCAGAGCAGCTCGAGCTAACAGGCTAACAACACAAACCCTCCTTTAAATAGAAACGATGTAAACATGTTTTCATTCCTGCAGCTCTGGAAACTTTAAACAATCTGAATAAACAGAACCAGATGATTGAATTCCTTTACTTAGCCTTTAGCTGCACGTGCAGCTAAGCCTTTAGCTTCACCTGCAGCTAAGCCTTTAGCTTCACCTGCAGCTAAGCCTTTAGATTTGCCTGCAGCTTTACCTGCAGCTTAGTTATTAGCTTCACCTTAACCTTAAGCTTCACCTGCAGCTTTGCCTTTAGCTTTACCTTAGCCTTTAGCTTCACCTGCATCTTAACTGTTAGCTTCACCTTAGCATTTAGCTTCACCTTAGTCTTAAGATTCACCTGCAGCTTAGTTATTAACTTCACCTTAGCCTTTAGCTTCACTTGCATCTTAACATTTAACTTCAACTTAGCATTT